GGGGGGGGGGGGGGGGGGGGCGCGTAGGACAGAAGGAGAAGGGCAGGAGAAGCGGCAACAGGGTACCGAGATCAGGGACAGTGTGAGGGCAGCGCACACAAGCGGCAGACGGAGGGCGGGAAGAGAGGGCGGGACGGGTACGTACGAAGGCAGGGCGACCCGCTGACGATCGACCAGTTACCGTTGATGTCGCACGACCGGATGGGAGTTCCACGCATGTTGGAGTTGCACCGGCCCAGAGCCCTGGTCAGAGAGGCGGTTTCCGGCCACGAGGCATCCAGGAAGTTGTCCTCAGGCGGGCACATGAGACCTGGAGATCGTGCGTCCGTGCGCCCGTGCGTCGGCGTATGGGCGTGTGCACATACAGTGGTGGACATGCGGGGAGGGTGAGCACACAGAGATGCGGGGAAATGCGGGCGTCCCGCGGGCGCGGGAGCGGAACAACCGACGGCGGGAGACGCACGCTTGCACCGGGCCACGGGCGGGTCCCACTGGCCGTCGATATTGCACATGCGCCGGGGGCGGTCCTTGGCCTGAGAACTGGCCGGCGCATAGCCGGGCGAGCACTGCCCGAAGGACTCGATGCTGCTCTGAGACGCGGGCCACTTGGTGCCAAGGTCATTCTCAATGCCGGTGCAATTGAGTCCTGTCATCGAGGAGGGGCATCTGAAGGTCAGGCAAGCAGGCAGCAGACAGCTGGTCCCACAGCGGGGCAGGCGGAGGAGGGCAGGCAAGAAAATGGCGACCAGGGGGCGTGCTGGTGGCTGGCTACTCCCGGCGCCAGGCAATCCCAAAGACACAGCCGGGGGCGCGGAAGGGAAGACGCACTGAAGCACATGTGCAACGGCTCTTCCCATTGAGCACGGAAGTTGCAGAGCCGCTGCGGGCTGGACACCGGGGAGTTGGCCGGCAGGCCGTAGCCCGGCTGGCAGCGACCGTTGACCTTGCGCCCGGCACTGGCCGCCGGGAAGAGGGTCATGGAGGCCCGCGGACCATCGATGTCGGCGATGGGGTCACAATCGATGGGCTGGCACCCGCCGGCGATCGGCCCATAGAAGGCCGCCATCGGGACGGCCTGCACCTCCGACACCAAGGTTGGCAGGGGATCGGCCCCGCCCGGAGCCCCCGGCACGCCGGTGGTCGAGTGCGACATGGGGAAGGACAGCGGATGCGAGGGAGCCAGATGCACGGGATCCGGCGAAACACACCGGCGCGTCGGCTGCCCATAGAAGCCGGCGATGCAGGTCCCGGTGATGGTGACCGCCGAGTCGGCCGGGGCCGCCGGCCAGGTGGCCATGCCCTCGGTGCGGGCGGCGCAGCCGATCGGCTGGCACACGGCCCCGGGGCCGGACCCCACCGGGCCCCACACACCGGAGGCGAGGCAGTCGCGTGTCGGACTCCCGGCGAAGCCAGCCGGACAGGACCCGATGACCGATCCAGTGCCGGCCGGCACCGCCGGCCACGTCCCATGCGAGGGGTCCTCATGGCCCGGCAGGATGGCCGGGCAGCTGACGCCGGTCGGCTGGCAAGTGCCGGTCACCGGGCCCCACCCGGTGGGCAGGCAATCGCGCGAGGGGGACGCCGACGCACCGGTGGCATATCCCGGCAGGCAGGCCCCGGTGACACCCTCATCCCCGGGCTCGGCCGCCGGCCAGACGGCCCCGGCATCGTTGGCCAGCTCGGGGCATGGGTCGGTCGAGCAGGCCCCCACCGGGTCGGACCAGCTTCCGCCGAGCCGGCAGTGGCGCACTGGCGCGCCATGCATTCCGCTGGGACAGGTCCCGCGAACCGTGGCCCCGGGTTGAGCCACGGGCCAGGAGGCGGTCGTCGGTCCGGCGGAAATGGCGGGGCATGTGCTGGCGGCTACGCCCGACAAGGACACACAGGGAGGCCGGGAGGGGGGGGGGGGGGGGGGGGGGGGGGGGGGGGGGGGGGGGGG